GGCATTACTCTCCTATCAGCACAAGTTCGATGATGGATCACACAACGCCCTTTTATTCCACACCATATTAGCATTTTTCTCCCCCAAATCCCTCAGCCTTCAAAGTATTCACGATCAGTCTACCTCCTTGATGTCTCCTTGTCCGGTGGGTGGGATGGAGGCCCCTGTTTACATCTCCTCTCCCTTGTGTTTGACTCAACGGCTGCGTCAAGGAGGATGAACCTTCTGCGCTCCGCGCGAGAGCTTCGCAGTCATCGGCGGTGAGGTGAGTTTTTTTGAATCCCTTCACTGCTTTGCCAACATGCAAAAAAAAAAAAAAAATCCCAAAACGAAACTTTTAGCAAACAATATACAGTCCATGCTTTTAGCAGAGGCATAAACACACGGTTTCTTTTCAGAAATTTTATAGGAGTCCCAGTGTTTCAGCCAGGAGTTTCTCTGAATAAATCATAGCAGAAACTTGTACAACGCTCCGGTGAGGTGCTAAGGAGGGCAATGCATCGTGTCAAGGTGACACATCTGCAGTCACTGCAACAGCAATTTCCCCCCAGGTCCCCGCTCCTGCATTGTACGAGGCTTTGGAACAAAAGAGAATGATGTAAAATCAGAATCCATGCAAGTTTTGAGGCTTTCTCTACAATGTCGTAACATGGAGGAAGCAGACACAGGCATTCGTGTAAATGCAAAGTATCATTAGGAGGATGCCGAGAAAGCCTGCGGAGGCTGAACTGCGCAATTCCCCGCGAGACGACAGTGACTCGCCTGGGGAAGGTCAGAGCCAACATTCAAACACCCAAACTTGAGCCTCTCGCAAACAGATCCGAGCTGGGATCCTCCATTAAGGAGGAAGCACGACCCACTTGCAGCACAGCACTTCCCCGCAAGAAGGACGGATAAGAATCAGCAGAAAACTATCTGAAGAGTTACTTTAAGAAAAACTTACTTGAAATCTGCATGAGTGCCTCTCTTCCGTACGCGGGACAGCCAGCAGAAAAAGTACAAAGAGTGCAACTTGCTTCCACAAAAAATGCTCACGAGAAACCCGAAACGACGGCACAGGAAGGGCTTCCTCCTGATAGGAGAATTATCAGCAAAACATTGCTCATGTGGTATTTTACTTTAATATTACACTGTGCTGTGGAAGATAAACTCCTCTAACATGTTTAGGGCAGCGGCAAAAGTAATTGACTGATCTCTACAGCAAGATCCAAGGGTTTGTTTGTTCCATTACGCTGCTTCCTCCCTTTCATCCACGTCAGCTCAACAGAGCAGCCTTAAAAGCACCTGCTGAGCTCCCTGGGGAGACTGTTTTCTAACATCCCATGTTCCTCAAAACACAGCCAACGAGGCAAGCAGAAGAAAAAAATCAATGCAAGACAGCTCCGTGGCACTTAGGACGCGGTTTACTGGTGGACTTGGCAGTGTTAGGTTTACGGTTGGACTCAATGATCTTAAGGGTCTTTTCCAACCTAAATGATTCTATGATTCTACTTAAAAATGGAGCAGGAGTGCCTGAAGTGCCCTGATTCTCTTAACCACGCGGTCCTGGCAGACCTGTCAGAGCCGAGGTACCGGCTCTGTGCCCATTCCTGGAGCTGTCGGACAAGAAAAGTCTCGCACAAGACTGGATGTAAGATTGGGGGCAAAACCTCTGCTCCCCCACCCCAGAACAGCAAAACCCCCAAAGTGCCAGGACCACGGCAGAGGGTTCAAGTCCAGAAACCCAACAGAAGAAGATGACGCGCTCAGGCTTCACCTGCATTCATCTTTCCTCCCTTTTCCCCAGATTTTCCATCGGCGCCAGCAGCAGACACAAAAGCGCTGAGGAAAGGTTGTGTTGCACGTCACTGTTTACAGCTTCGATCACGTCAGGAACGTGAGGAGGAGCGGAGCTCGTCAGCCAGGAGAAGACACTCCAGCTGTGAAGCCAAAGGATCAGCCATGAGCAGCAGCCGCAGAGGATGGGGGAAGATCCGTGGGGATGAGAAATACTTGGGAGGAGAAGGTCAGAGCTGCCCCTGTCCCCTCCCCGATGCTTTGTTTCCAAACCCTTTCCCCACACGGATGCACCGGCCTCCTGCCCCCCAGCATGGTGCCCACCTGGGGAGACCCCTGGTAGCCCAGGGCCCCACCGGGGCTGCCCCACACTGGCCCAGAAGAGCCCCCCCATTGCCAAGCCGTGCTCCTGGCCTGCTGCCTCCGTATCCAAGGGCTCTCCTCCTCTGTGCCCTCCATTGGCGAAGCCCCCCCCATGCCCA